TGTTAAGTTTCTTTCGAAAAAAAAATACAATTGTGTATTCTTTTACAGGTGATGAATCGCTGACAATGGGATATATTCTTGAACATAAACTAGAAAGGAATCCTCCACATCAAATTCAAGAGTTTGCTGTTGAAGCCCTAAGAATGACTCTTAAACATGAAAACGTGAAAAAACTTCTAGAAGACCCAAATGAGCATTTTGACGTTATTATTGTAGACTTGATGGAATCAGAAGTGTATGCTGGGTGAGTCGCATTACATAGCATAGCTCTTTTTTAATTCCAGGACCTGTATTATAGAGCACAATTTTCTAAATGAACACAATCTTATATTTATTTTTCTATCCAATAAAAATCCTTGAGCGGTATTCATGCATGTGCATTTGACCAACAAGATAGCTGCTAGTAAAGCCAAAAACGTATTTTTAAATGTAGAAACATATTATTAGATTTTTTTTAAATCTCAGTTTTAGCACTGAGTCTGAAATTGTACCCGGTATATGGCAATAGGCTCACTCCTATTACATGAGACTCATAACATAAATAGTGAAATGTGAGTGTTACATTGTACAGTGGCATAATGTGCACCTCTGCCTACCCCTTCGGGGATAAAAGGCGTGATGTTATGAGTGAACATTGAAACTTCTTTTCGATTTTCTACCAGCACCACATTTGCTGGTTACAACATTAATTATTTAAAGAGAAAGAGAGAGAAGTAACTTAATGGTTGAAAAATTGTCACCTCACAATTATAAATTTACATTTTCAGATTGTCAGTTTTGTACAACTGTCCTATGATGTGGCTCTACTCTATGGGGGCACACTGGCAAGTACTACGACTGATAGATGTCGCCTCGAACCCTGCTTACGACCCAGATTACTTATCACCAAACATGCCTCCATTTACATTCGCAGAAAGGGTGGAAGAGCTGTGGTCGAGGATTTATTGGCAATACCTCAAAACGTAAGTGTAAAAGTATTAAAGTCTTCTAAAAGGGTCTTAATTCTTCCTTCACATAGTGATGATGTTGACTGATTTATTTGTACACATTTTAGATTCTACACCCAACCTGAAGAGCGCAGGATCTACGAGGCAGTCTTTGGTCCTCTGCTGGCTAAACGTGGAAGACCGCTTCCAGATTATGAAGATGTAATGTACAACGCTTCTCTGATATTCGGGAATGAGCACGACGCCACACGCAACCGAGCGAGTACTCCACAGAACTTTAAATACATTGGTGGATTCCACATTGAGGATCCCGTGAAACCTCTACCTAAGGTAAAATAATATTCCAATATCTAGTTCTGACGAATAAAGCGTCTCTTTATTCATTACTTGACTCTCATGGTGGTACTGTAACTACAACTGCAAAAAAGCTACAAAACTAACAGAAAAACACAGATTTTGTTCACATTCAAGTCATACATTTCCGTGATGAAGAGTAATTGAGATTCCATTACATAAGAAGGTAATAACAAAATGCATAATTATATTATTAACTGTATAAACGTTATTAGCCCTACTTATTATAAAGTCTCACGATTGTATTGTTGCTGTGATAACCTCTATACCACATTATGCCAATAACTGGATCGCATTAATTGCTTACCTAACGATAATTATACTGTTTTTATCTGTCCACCGTAGTTACAAATATACTTTACATAATCTTTTAGATTAAAATCGCAGTTTACCTGTTCTTAATGTCAAGGACAACAAAGGGTACTTACAAAACACAGTTGATATAATCTTTAACATTTTTAGGATCTCCAAGACCTCATTGACAATTCAGAGCATGGCGTCATATATTTCAGTATGGGATCATTTTTACAAAGCAAGTCTTTGCCAAGGAAACTGGTCACAGAAATACTCCAGATGTTCGGAGAATTCAAACAAACAGTCATTTGGAAATTTGAAGATAACAGCCTAGAAAATATTCCCAAGAACGTGCGAATTGTAAATTGGGCTCCACAACCAAGCATTTTAGGTATAATAAATAATTATATCATTATTATCCATACAGAAAAGATTGATGATCTCGAATAATTTTCATCACCTTTTGAATATAACTCCTTAAGCTTAAGGTTAAAATTATTAAAAGTATTTCACCAAATAAGAGTATGCCATCTGCATTGTATGTGAGTGCTAACATTTACATGTTAAACTTCTGAAAGTTAAATACCCTGAGGGAACTTATGTTTGTAAAAAAGGAATAAATTGTCTTTCAGCTCACCCTAACGTCAAAATGTTCATCACACATGGAGGTCAGCTCTCTTCTCTAGAAGCCATTCACTTCGGAAAGCCAGTTATAGGAATACCAGTGTTCTTCGATCAGTTCACCAATATCCATAAGGCAGGTCAAAATGGATATGCTCTAAGAGTGCCATTGTCCCAAAACTTGCCGAAAGACTTGAAACCTGCCATTAATATGATGTTAACTGATGATCGGTGAGTAAAAATATAAATTTTTCTTAAGGTTTGCATTAAGGGTGAACAAGCACAAGGATCACCTGATGGTAAGCCATTAGCACAGCTGCCTACGGACAATTAGTGACCGAGATAATCGTGCATAAGTCCTGATGCGGTTTCCAAATTGCTCAATGTAATGTTAGAATAAATATTGTGGAGGTGACTTAGAAGTTTGTGCTTTATATAAAATTGTTATAATATTCTTTGACCTTGACCACACAGGAGTACATTCACAGCACCATTGCAATGACTAACAGCTTATGCAGTCAATCACTTATTGCGCCCTAGATGATTTGCTTTGGCGCCATAAGTGATTTCCTTTAGTAAGTGATTTGCTATGATATTCTGCAATATCCACTTTACTGTTAAACTCAACAGTCCGTCCAGCAATTCGATTTAAGGGAAAATATCTTTGCAAATCTGTCTCCCTTTTTATCACTTTGTGTAAAATTTTCCTCATATTATTATAATCTATTAGGTTTTCTTTTCCCTTTTTTCCTGAATTTAAATATTCGATTCTAATCAACGTTCCTTAATTTATTTCAGCTACGCCAAGAAAGCTAAAGAGCTATCTGACCTCTATCACGATCGTTTGACGAAGCCTGGTGCAGCTCTCGTGCACTGGGTAGAATACGTAGTGCGCACACGTGGAGCCCTACACTTGCGCTCTCCAGCACGCCACGTACCTTTGTACCAACGTCTTTACCTCGATCTCATAGCAATTATTTTGACTATTGTGTCTGTACTGATTTTCATACTAAGTAAAATATGTAAAAAGGATCATCCCAAAAGAAATGACCATAAGAAAAGAAATTAATATTTTAGGACAATATTTGACACTTCACAAGTACGTGATCAAGCTTTGTCTTTAAATAAATTTCTAGATTTGTCTAGCTCATTGTACAGTATTTAGGGCATTGGAATGTTTTTTATTTTAATATTTTGTTTTTGTTACATACGAATAAAATACTAAGTAGAAATTTACACATTTATTTTATTATATGGTTATTCGTTTGTTTCATTTTGTAATTTACTTTATTATGGTGTCGGCATTAAAAAGCGCTAAAAGTACGATTTTCATAATGCTAGTTGAACGAAATGTTCTCTTGTCTCGGTCGATTATATCGCTTAAATGCCATTTGAACCACAGCACTGGTCTGTACTTCTTTTATGTTTGCAATGTTTAGAAGGAGTCTAGCCAACTGATAATTCTATAATTTTCAGCTATCTACGTAACTGTAGGCGTTTTTTAACTGATGATTCCGTATGCACTTCTGTAGTTCAAAAATTCCAGAATTATATGTCTAATGCCTTAAAACAAAAAGTTAATAATACATGACTGTATGTTACATAATGTTCAGGAACTCATATAAAATTTACCATTTTACAGACAACCCATTCTTTGTTGTTACGCAGTCAGATAAAACACATTATCATTTAATAATATTTATATTTAGACTGATAACATATAAGTCACAAGGCCGATAACGTTGCTTAGGAAAACAGCTGAGTCAATGGTGACTACATAATATCCATAATCTCGAAGTAGGTACTTATAAATAAAGAAAGGAATAATGATAACTGTAACTATTTAAATTTTGAGTGTCATGAAAGCAAATGAGTAACAAATAAGTAAGTACCTATCTTTCTTTATTTCTATTTTTATAACTAAACACAATCATCGATAATATTATTACGTTTAAAGACAAAAATACATTTTGTTTATTCATTGTGAGGAAGCTAGTTTTTTGAGTAAATATGTAGATAGATATGATAAAAATGTAGTACGTAAATGTTTAATCTATGCGGGTAGTAAAAATGTAAATGATTGTTATCAGTAGGTAAAGATTGTGTCACTTGACGAATGACTTCTTTTACAAACGGTACGTGGCCTACAAATGACAAATGCTTGTATCTTGGTTAGAAACAATGAAATCTGTCCACACAGTGGCAACGTCAAATCCGCCTATTTTTTGTGAAGAATTGTTAAAATATTGAAATGAAAATAGAACGCAAACTAGTTCATATTCTTGCCACTAGTGGCGCTGTCTTTATTTGTATGGAGATATGTTATATTTTTTTTTTTTATCTATGGTAGTCTACCGTACGTCTGCATGCTGTTTGATTGATCTCAGAAATAAACTTATTTGTAAACTTTTACACAGTTTTACTTTAGAACCACATTTTCCTACATGGTAGCAGAGCGTGGTTCTGAGTAAATTATAGTAATAGTTCAGACAAACGGAAGTTTTTCGTATCAATTGAATGAAGACCGCCGCTCTTCGGTTACTTGCCGCCATTATTGCACACGCCGCCGGTACTGGTTGTAAAATTGGAATCTATCAGAAAGTACGACAATGTCCTCAAATATTTTTAGTATAGAGAAGTTAACTGGTCGTGATAATTACGCGACATGGAAGTTCACCATGAAATCATACTTAGAACATGAAGATTTATGGACATGCATTGAGCCAGGCGGTACTAAAGACAAGCCTCTTGACGCTGCTAAGGATGTAAAGGCAAGAACTAAAATTATATTATTAATAGATTCTCAGAACTACATACACGTTCAAGATTGCTTAACTGCTAAAGAAGTATGGAATAATCTGCAAAAGGCATTTGATGACAAGGGTCTAGCTAGAAAGGTGGGTTTATTGAAGGACTTAGTGAATACATCATTGGAAACTTGTGACAGTATTGAAGATTATATCTCGAAGATAATGACTACAGCTCATAAGTTACGCAACATTGGGTTTGACGTGAACGATGAGTGGCTGGGCACCTTAATGTTAGCAGGATTACCAGAAGTCTATACACCAATGATTATGGGGCTCGAAAGTTCGGGCATTCAAATAAGTGCTGATCTTATCAAGACTAAGCTCCTACAGGAAATCAAATCTGAAACTGGAGTCGCATATCATACAAAGAAAGGTAAAAGTTTCCCGAAGCAAAGTAAGGTATCTGAAACTACACTGTCGAAAGGGCCCAGATGCTACAATTGTAACAAATACGGTCATTTTGCAAGATTTTGTAGGAGTCCTAAGATATCGTTACAAAAGGAAGCTGAAGAACTTGAAAAAGAGTCAAAATTAGTAAAGGAAGAATCTTCTAGTTTTGTTGCAGCTTTCACAGCAACTGGTGAAGAGAATGTAGACTGGTATGTCGATTCAGGTGCATCCATGCACATGTCATGTAAAAGGGATTGGATGTACAACATGACTAAGGCATCGGTGTCAAACATTACAGTAGCTAACAGTGCACCACTGCCAGTGCAAGGAGTTGGTTCTGTTGATATTTACCCAGCTCAGGGCAACAAAATTCAGGTAAATAATGTATTGTATGTTCCTGGACTCAGTGTGAATCTCTTGTCTGTGAGTGCTGTTGTAGGGGCTGGATATAAAGTAATATTCAGTAACCAAGGTTGTGACATTCATAATGACACAGGAGACTTAATATGTTCTGCATTACTAAAGAAAAAGCTGTACATTTTAAATACAAGAATGAGTTCAGAGTCCACTCATCTGACTGTTGATAGTAAACAAATTGATGATACTTACTTATGGCATTTGCGCATGGGCCATCTTAATGTTTCAGATGTAAACAAGCTACCCGGATGTGTTGAAGGAGTGAAACTCACTCAGACGAATAATGTGAGCAGTTGTCCTTGTTGTATGGAAGGTAAACAAGCCAGATTACCATTTAACCATGTTGGATCCAGAGTCACCACACCCTTGGAACTTATACATTCAGATTTATGTGGTCCGATGGAAAATGTGTCTTATTCAGGTATGAAATACTTTATTACATTTATCGATGATTGTACACGGATGGTACATGTTTATTTCATAAAGGATAAGTTAAATGTACTGGAAGTTTTTAAAGATTTTAAATTAAAAGTTGAGAATAAACTTGATTCTAAGATAAAAACTATTAGAACAGATAATGGCACTGAATACTGCAATAATTATTTTGAAAAATACTTATCCCTTAGTGGAATCACCCATCAGACTACAACACCATACACCCCTCAGCAAAATGGTTTAGCTGAAAGGATGAACCGCACATTGGTGGAACGGGCAAGGTGCATGTTGATCTATGCTGGCCAACAAAAGCAGTTGTGGGCAGAAGCTGTCGCCACTGCAGCATATATTGTGAATCGTTCACCTACTAAATCACTAAGGGGAAAAACACCTTATGAAATGTGGACTGGTCATAGACCTAGTCTGTCTCACATGAGAATATTTGGTTCAGCAGCTATGGTGTATATTCCTAAGGAAAAAAGGCTTAAATGGGATAAAAAATCGAATAAGATGATTTTAGTTGGTTATTGTGAACAAACAAAGGGTTATCGCATGTTTGATCCTAAGACATGTAAAGTTATAAAAAGTAGAGACGTCGTATTTTATGAAAATTATAAGAGTATTCAGAATGATTTCACAGTGAAAGTACCTGTTAATAGTGAGAGTATTGCTACAGCATCAGAACCTGATACGAGTCCTGATACGAGCTTGAAGGCAGACAGTACAAGTCAGCAGCAGCAATCTCTTGACTCAGAAAGTATAAGATCAAGTGGTGAAAGTACTAGTGAGTATGAAACTGATTATGGTGATTTGGATGAAACTTATCAGCCTCCGAGAAGTTTACGGAATATGCAGGATAACAGCAGCAGAATGACAGTGAGGCCTCGCAGAACACAAACTAAAGAACATAGTTTATTTTGTTTGATGACCCTATCTGATCCGCAGTCAGTCAACGAAGCACTATCATCCTCAAATGCGGTACAATGGAAAAAGGCCATGGACGAAGAGTATAGTTCCCTGATCAAGAATAAAACTTGGAGCTTGATAGACTTACCTGCCAATAGAAAAGCCCTGCCATCAAAGTGGGTGTTTAAAACAAAAACTGACTTAAGTGGAAACATAATTCGCTTTAAGGCTAGACTTGTGATAAAAGGCTATGCACAGAAGAAAGGCAGAGATTATGAGGAAGTATTTTCACCAGTAGCAAGATACACTACTCTCCGTTATTTATTTGCTTTGGCAGCCAGAAATGGTTATGAGATAGAACAAATGGATGCTGTCTCAGCGTTTCTTCAAGGAGAAGTTGACACAGAAATTTATATGATGCAGCCAGAGATGTATGAGCAGGGATCACAGGTGTGTTATCTACATAAATCTATTTATGGTTTGAAACAAGCAAGTCGTCTCTGGAATTCTAAGTTGAATACTGTGTTACAAGAAATAGGCATGTACCAGTCTAAAACAGATCCATGTGTATATTACAATAACAAGAAAACCACATTCATAGCTGTATGGGTAGATGATTTAATATTGTTTACTTCAGAACAAACTGTGAAAAATACTATAAAGAGTATGTTGAAAAAATATTTTGAAATGAAAGATCTTGGAAAAGCTACTCAGTGTTTGGGATTAAACATAACATATGACAAGAATACAGTTATGTTAGATCAAGAGAAGTATATCAAAGAGATACTAACTAAATTTGGAATGCTTGACTGCAAAGTTGCAAAGACGCCAGTTGAGGTTGGTTTGAAGTTCACTTCAAGTTTAGAAGAAAAATTCGACTGTCCCTATCAGCAAGCTATAGGCTCTTTACTTTACTTAGCCCAGTGTACACGTCCAGATATAAGCTTTGCCGTTAATATGCTAAGTAGATTTAACAAGGAGCCAAAGTCAGAACACTGGACAGCTGTCAAAAGAATAATGAGATACTTGCAAGGTACCAAAGATCTTCGGTTGGTGTATACCAAAGACGGAAATAAGAACATCACAGGATATTGTGATGCCGATTGGGCGAGTGATATGAGCGACAGAAAGTCGTGCACCGGTAATATCTTTATGTTTCAGGGAGGTGCTATTTCTTGGTGTTCCCTTAAACAACAAACTGTGGCACTATCCACTGCTGAAGCGGAGTACATGGCTATGTCCTCTGCCACCCAAGAAGCTCTGTGGTTGAGGCAGCTA